CTCACGTGTCAACACCGTATTATCCCACTGTTTCTTTTCAATTCACCTCTACTACAAGGCGTAAGTAGACGTCAATATTATTTTCCAGGTGAAGAAAGGAACCATCGATGAGCCATATTGTCATCATCAATTGAGCCTGCTTCATGCCACCATGGCTTGGCAAATTATATTGGCATTATAATAAACTGGCCAACTTGCTATGCAAGAGACATTCATATGCCATTTGAATGCGATGAATCCACCGCTGCTAAACCCAGTCTTACATTGCGAGGCTCACTCGCAAACTTGGGATAACAAATATCAAAATTTTTCCAAACTGGAGAGTCAGCAGGATGTCTCATTTTGCCATTCATCAATTCGGGCACCTCTGCATACCATTCTCGATTAAACGGAGATGTTTTGGATGACATAAAAACAAATCTTTTAAGCCTATGAATCAATGGAAAGTAGTCTAACAATCTATGCGTGGAATTCTTATGTTGCTTCTTTTCTTCACATCATTTCCTCCCCTTCAAAACTGTTTGTATTTCTAGGCATATTGACACACTTATTGCAATCATCCTACCAGCTGTTTCCTTCCATATTAGTGAACAATCCCTTGGGCATGCATGTACTTATGATAATCGAGGGCCCAAGTCCCTAAAGAAGTTTCCTAGTGCATAAAATGACTTTGGCAAAGTTTCACCCTTCGGAACGAATCCTTCAAAGTCGAGCAACATCGTGAAAGACTTGTCACTCCATCCACTAAGGCACTTGATGGTGCAATAACCGAACAATAAAAAGAGGAGCGATTTGAAAACTTTCTGACTACTCAGGATATAACTCTCTCTGGCCTCTTTCAATAAATTGAAGAATTTTTCGGGTTTTCTCATCATGGACCTTGTTTAATACCAGAACTTGCTTGCCCTCGTGAATAAAGGCTTGGTGGTAGGAAGTCCAAATCCTTCGTATATAGCATTCATAAGTTTCATCACCCATCTTCGAATCAGTTTGTCCCGACATCACATTGTGTGCAACAGGCGATGACAAATTCCTCCCATGAAAATCCAAC